TGTTATTTTATTTTACTGCTGCTCTTTAATTATTAGCTTTTGTTTTCTTAAAACTGAATTGTTTGTTAAGGGCTTGTAAGTAAGCATTTCACTGTAAGGTCTACACCAGTTGTATTCAGTGCATGTGGGAAATAAAATGTGATTTGATTTGATTTGATCTGATGATGAGTTGATTCTTTGAATCAATTGTGTGAGTGCTTGGCCAAAAACTAAATGTGCACCCATTTGACCAAATTCCATATCGAAATAAATTGCCTGAATTGATGCGATAACTATACATTTAAAACTTTAATGTGCACCATACTTTAAAATAATTATATTTTAAACTACTACTAGTTTGATGGTTGTAGCCAACAATTGTCCCATGAACAGTCACCTTATTCCCCAGACGGACTGAGAGTGGCTAGCGGTGTGGTGTGGCGTGCATGTCCCTTCCATGACTCACTTCTCTCCTCTCCCCCTTTCTTTCACCCTCGCCGCCCGTGAGTTTTGCTTGACTTGGTCGTTTTCACAGCTGCTCACGTCTCGGCGGTGCACTCCATTACACCTTAAATCAGTTAAGAGATCTGAAGCACCAAAAAAACCTCCCTGTGAAGCTAATTCACCCTGACCATTTTTATACTTTAGCAAGAAAAAAACAGATAGCCCCATCACCCTGACCGTACTGTGAGGAGCAGCTAGAGAGGGTTACAGTGAGGGAAAAAAGTATTTGATCCCCTGCTGATTTTGTACGTTTGCCCACTGACAAAGACATGATCAGTCTATAAATTTAATGGTAGGTTTATTTGAACAGTGAGAGACGGAATAACAACAAAAAAATCCAGAAAAATGCATGTCAAAAATGTTATAAATTGATTTGCATTTTAATGAGGGAAATAAGTATTTGACCCCTCTGCAAAACATGACTTAGTACTTGGTGGCAAAACCCTTGTTGGCAATGACAGAGGTCAGACGTTTCTTGTAGTTGGCCACCAGGTTTGCAAACATCTCAAGAGGAATTTTGTCCCACTCCTCTTTGCAGATCTTCTCCAAGTCATTAAGGTTTCGAGGCTGACGTTTGGAAACTCAAACCTTCAGCTCCCTCCACAGATTTCCTATGGGATTAAGGTCTGGAGACTGGCTAGGCCACTCCAGGACCTTAATGTACTTCTTCTTGAGCCACTCCTTTGTTGCCTTGGCCGTGTGTTTTGGGTCATTGTCATGCTGGAATACCCATCCACGACCCATTTTCAATGCCCTGGTCGAGGGAAGGAGGTTCTCACCCAAGATTTGACGGTACATGGCCCCGTCCATCGTCCCTTTGATGCGGTGAAGTTGTCCTGTCCCCTTAGCAGAAAAACAACCCCAAAGCATAATGTTTCCACTTCCATGTTTGACGGTGGGGATGGTGTTCTTGGAGTCATAGGCAGCATTCCTCCTCCTCCAAACACGGCGAGTTGAGTTGATGCCAAAGAGCTCCATTTTGGTCTCATCTGACCACAACACTTTCACCCAGTTCTCATCTGAATCATTCAGATGTTCATTGGCAAACTTCAGATGGGCCTGTAAATGTGCTTTCTTGAGCAGGGGGACCTTGCGGGCCCTGCAGGATTTCAGTCCTTCACGGCGTAGTGTGTTACCAATTGTTTTCTTGGTGACTATGGTCCCAGCTGCCTTGAGATCATTGACAAGATCCTCCCGTGTAGTTCTGGGCTGATTCCTCACCGTTCTCATGATCATTGCAACTCCACGAGGTGAGATCTTGCATGGAGCCCCAGGCCGAGGGAGATTGACAGTTCTTTTGTGTTTCTTCCATTTGCTAATAATCGCACCAACTGTTGTCACCTTTTCACCAAGCTGCTTGGCGATGGTCTTGTAGCTCATTCCAGCCTTGTGTAGGTCTACAATCTTGTCCCTGACATCCTTGGAGAGCTCTTTGGTCTTGGCCATGGTGGAGAGTTTGGAATCTGATTGATTGATTGCTTCTGTGGACAGGTGTCTTTTATACATGTATCAAACTGAGATTAGGAGCACTCCCTTTAAGAGTGTGCTCCTAATCTCAGCTCGTTACCTGTATAAAAGACACCTGGGAGCCAGAAATCTTTCTGATTGAGAGGGGGTCAAATACTTATTTCCCTCATTAAAATGCAAGTCAATTTCTAACATTTTTGACATGCGTTTTTCTGGATTTTGTTGTTGTTATTCTGTCTCTCACTGTTCAAATAAACCTACCATTAAAATCATAGACTGATAATTTCTTTGTCAGTGGGCAAACGTACAAAATCAGCAGAGGATCAAATACTTTTTTCCCTCACTGTATATACTGTGGCAAACAAACACATACACTCTTAGAATTTGTTTTGCTATCTAGAACCTAAAAGGGTTCTTCGGCTGTCCCCATAGGCGAACCCTTTGAAGAACCCTTTTTGGTTCCAGGTAGAACCCTTTCAACAGAGGGTTCTACCTGGAACCACAAATGATTCTTCAATGTACAGAAATGAGACAATGTTTTCCATTAGAGTCTGGCTCAGATGAGTCTACAGTATACTTAGAAATGTTCCAAAAGGGTTCTTTGGCTGTCTCCATAGAATAACCCGTTTTGGTTCCTGGTAGAACCCTTTTGGGTTCCATGTAGAACCCTCTGTAGAAAGGGAGGAGAAGCTATAATGAGCTAGCGCAGCCAGGTAGTTATGGGGGTTACCGCCCAGCCACAGAGACACACACAGAGGCATGACACACACACCCGCGCACACACATATACACACACAGTCACAGAGGTGTGACACGCAGCTGCACAGTGCTATTGATTCTGGTCTCCAGACGCCCCTTCCCTTTCTCTTTCTCTCCCTTCTCTCGCTGTCCTCTCTCTTTCTCTCCCTCTCTCTATTCCTCTCTCTCTCTTCCCTCTCATTCAGAATGCCTGCCAAGTGGCTGGCTGGCTGTGTAAACGAAAGGGGTCGTCCACCTCTCCTCCTCTCCCCTGGTGTCTGCATGTCTGCTTAGGCACGATCAATGGTCCATCAGGAGAGGGAGAGGAGTGTCCAGCCTGTCCTGTCTTTACCTCCACAGGATCCAAGGAGAAGGAGGAGGAGGGGAGGAAATAGAAGATTTACAGTACATAAGCATTCCAGGTGAAGCTGGTTGAGAGAATGCCAAGAGTGTGCAAAGCTGTCATCAAGGCAAAGGGTGGCTATTTGAATCTCAAATATAAAATATATTTTCATTTGTTTAACACTTTTTTGGTTACTACATGATTCCATATGTGTTATTTCATAGTTTTGATGTCTTCATTATTATTCTACAATGTAGAAAATAGTAAAAATAAAGAAAAACCCTTGAATGAGTAGGTGTTCTAAAACTTTTGACTGGTACTGTATGTAGTGGAAAAAGATCAAGATGCAGTAATTGACTATAGAGTGTTTGTGGTGGTGAGAGGGTAATAATTCTAAGGATATCAAACAGATTCGATTATGGGGTTTGTTTCAACTGAAGTTCCCAAAGTCTAGGAGCGATCCCCGCTGCTACCTCATCTGGAATAGGCACCCTGTTCCCTATTTAATGCTCTACTTTTGACCAGGGCACATGGGGAACAGAGTGCCATTTGGGATGCAGCCTATATCGCTCTAAACTAGAAAGTTAATATTCATATCAGACCTGGACCAGGATTTGGTTCACTTTGATCAATTAGTTCCCATGCTGTGCTTTGAAACAGACTGATACACACCATCAGAATCAGAATCCCTCCATATATAGTGGATAGAGCCTCAGATAACTTTGTGAAAAAGTAGCTTTAATACCTTCTAACTTTCATATATTCCCTCTCTAGAAAATAATGATGACTCCATCAATACTGGGGGGTTGAAGATGGGTGTTATCCTAATCAGGCAACATTAAAATGACACTCATCAAGTTGATGTTCTAGCAGGTCATTGCTAGACTGGGTACCAGTCTGTTTAGCTATAATTCCACTCCTTGCCACACCTTGTCATGCAAAACATTGGCATGACAAATGAGTGGCAAGGAATGAAATGTTAGCACAGACAGACTGGATTTCTCCAGGCTAGGTCATTGTAGGTCTAACAGTTATCCTCAGATAACCGTAGAAAGGTTTGTGGAGAGTACTACAGCTACTTTTCCACATATTATCTATCTGAGACCATCAGAATCCTTCCATATATTCTCCATATCCTTAGATAAACAAATTACTTCTCTCTCTAGAAGATTCTATGTGAAAAAGATATGCTGCATGTTATTCTGCAGCTCAGGTTGCACATCTGTCAACATGGCTCTCCGATATAATAGACTGACAGAACCGCTGCCATTAACAAGGTCGTTTCAGGTTAGTCATACAACATCTCTCTCAAGCCAATAAGCAACATGGTAGGGATGGATTAAGCATCAGGGTTGGTGTCAATTTCATTTAAATTCAGTGAAATAAGCTTTTTATTATTCAGTTAAATCAGATGAAAAGAGATAGAGTGAAGCAGCTTGCCAGGTGAAAATGAGTGGAATGGTGTTGCCTGTAGGTAATCATCAATATTTTGACAGGCCTCCAAATTCTTGCAGGAATCTAACCACATTTCATAAATAATGAAAGATTTGAATCAATTCGGCTCACAGCTCTTCATGGATAAGTGATTTGAACAAATTACAGATATGACCGTACAACTCGAAAAGGAAGGATGAGAGACCTTTTACTCCTCATTAACTTTGTCAATATAAGTAGTTATAACCAAGTGAAACGATGTGTGGGGTTTCTTAATCAGTTATGCTTACCAGCCTTCTAATATGAATAAAAGTATTGTTGTACCATAAAGCTTTCCTAGAGTGTGAAATAGTAATGATAGGCCTAGGTTTTATATGCCTAGAATGAAATGCATTAGAAGGGTTTCCAAGACCAGGCTTTATCAGTGAGAAACTGCAGTGATGCATGACTGTAGTATAGGCCTACCAAGAACCTCTTTGGTAGCGAAGCTCATTTCGACACACTGAAAACATTTACCATCTCCAACAGGCAGCACCTACCCCAGTGTTGTCATGGTGACTATGGTGTACCAGAAAGCAGCGGGAATGCTGGTGAACTTGCTGGAGGCGGAGCCCTTCTCTGCATAGAACATCACAGTGGCAAAGATAATGATGGCCATGGTGAGGGAGAAGAGGAGGAAGCCCAGCTCCGAGGCACAGCTCTTCAGTGTGTAGCCCAGGATACGCAGGCCCGCGGAGTGGCGGGAGAATTTGAAAATCCTGAAAACCCGGAAGACCCTGAGAGTGACGAACGCCCCGCTCACTTGGTCGTTGTCTGTCACGACCAAGCCAATGTAGTAAGGCATGATGGCAACCACGTCGATGATGCTCATCACACTCTTCATGAAGTTATACCGGCTGGGAGCCGCGATTAACCGTAACAGGTACTCGACGGTGAAGATCATGACGCAGGCCGTGTCCAGGCAGAAGAAGGCCACTGCATAACGGTCCCCGCACGAGATGTCCTTGGAGCGGTTAGGCAGGGTTCCACACGGCACCGTCTCCACCACATTGGCCATGACCGAGATGGCGATGAAAAACCCGGTGACATAATAGAGGACCAGGGCCATGGTGCTCGTGTGGGGATTCTCAAAAGCCCGCCACATGTACTCCCGGAAGGTCATGTTTAACGGAGCTATATCTTCTTTCTCGTTGTCTTCGTTATCCTGCAGCCTCTCCTGGTTCTCGCGGCGCCGGTCCTTGTACTCCTCATAGCAACAGTCGGCAATAATCTCAGGTATGATTCCGAAAAACAACAACTCTTCATCATACGCGGCAATGCACTCCTGGCGCGGGTAGTGCAGTTTGCCCGTGCGGTAGAAATTCAGAATGTGTCTAAAGATATCAGGGTCACGATCAAAAAAGTACTCGTTTGTTTTCTCATGGAAAAAGTAATCCCTCTCGGTGCTCCCTAGTAAAGTGTCGGGGTAGCGTTCCAAAGTGTTACTCCATGTCTGGAACTTCTGACCGCTGATGTTGAGGAGGATAAGTCCCTGGTCTTGGGCTTCCTTCTTTTCCCGGGGAGGGATGGGCATAGGGCTAGTCGCCACCGGAATCCATCCAATAGCCGCCGCGCGAGCAAAGGGGAGCCATGCCGCCACTCCTGTAGCCATGTTGACTGACCGGTTAGACCAGTGTGTTTAGAACCACCCTGATGCTATGGCTATCATAGGTGAATGAACATCTACAGAGGATAGAATACAAGGTATTAGAATAAATAGCATTTGCAAATCAAAAGCTATGTGGCTGGGTATCTGAGGTGGTCTACATGAAATGTTAACCTACACCAGAAAGCTTATTTAGTTCACATCTGTAATATGACTGGGGTTGGGGTTAGAGTGGCAAACACTCTACATATATTTTCAATTAAAGTTGTCAATTATTTTGTCATAAAGGAAATAAATGGGAACTAAAGACACACACATCAGTCAAAAAAAAAGACAAAGATGAATAATTAAAATATATGTTTTATGGAAAGCTTACCATAACTTATTCTTCACAATGCATCCATAGTTAAATAAATGAAACACAATCTGTCTCTGTAAGAGGACAAATATGTATGTAAGCTTCCACTCGCTTCACTTTACTCCAACGAGCTGGTATATCCACCAAACACATGTAAATAATGGTGTATCAACAAGTTAGAAAATCAGCCAGTAGTTTCAGCAGTCTCCCTCAATCCATGTTCAATATTCCATCCAACGGTCTTTTCCTTTCCATCACCCGGTAAGGAAGAGAAAACGGTCAGTTAGTGGTGGCTCTCCAGTGCCTATTTCTTCCGCTGCATCTGCTCCGCAATAAAAGCGCAACTCTGTCCCTCTCACATCCACTGACTGGCTGCAAGACCACCCCCTCAGGAACCGAGCGTGTGTGGAGAGAGGAGAGGAGACGGAAAAAGATGCAGCTATAGAAAGGCGTTTTCTCCCTTAGTCCCTTTCCTTCAGGTTTATAAATTCCGCAACTGGTAGTATGGTTTGTTGAAAAGATAAACAAATTAATAGAAATCGGGAAGTATTGAATTAGGTGCCAATCTCCAAACACGTTGGTGAAATCAGTAACTGATGAGAGCCCAGTTGCAGTGTGTCACGTGCTGTTAGCAGGGCGGTAGCTACATACAGTGGGGAGAACAAGTATTTGATACACTGCCGATTTTGCAGGTTTTCCTACTTACAAAGCATGTAGAGGTCTGTAATTTTTATCATAGGTACACTTCAATTAAATAAAATGCAAATTAATTACTTAAAAATCATACAATGTGATTTTCTGGATTTTTGTTTTAGATTCCGTCTCTCACAGTTGAAGTGTACCTATGATAAAAATTACAGACCTCTACATGCTTTGTAAGTAGGAAAACCTGCAAAATCGGCAGTGTATCAAATACTTGTTCTCCCCACTGTATGAGGACACCAAGGTCCGGACCTCGGTAATTGTTGAGCATTTAAGTTAATAGTAGAAAACATAAGGTGCAATTTCGAAACTTGGTTGTGCCTCAGCAGGTTTCATTTTACATTTACATTTTCGTCACTTAGCAGACGCTCTTATCCAGAATGACTTATAGTTAGTGCATTCATCTTAATATAGCTAGGTGGGACAACCACATATCACAGGCATGTTTCCTCAAAGTAGCTATCAGTAGAGTTAGAAAGGGGGGTTGGAGTGCTGTTTCAGGGTTTTGTGTGTGTGTGTGTGTGTGTGGGGGGGGGGGGGGGTCATTTAAAATATTGTTTGAAGAGGTAGAGTTTCAGATGTTTTCAGAAGATGGGCAGGGACTCCTAGCTGTCCTATCTTCAGGGGGGTGCCAGGACAGAGAAGAGCTTGGACTGGGCTGACCGGGAAATGCCATCCCGTAGGGGTGGGAGGGCCTAGAGACCTGAGGTGGCCACTCACTGACAGTCACTCAATTAGCCCATGTCAGTTAAAATTTGGCCTAATTACTGGCACATGCCCAGGGGATTTTGTTAGTCACTCTCACTCAGATATCATATTAACATGGCCAGCTATCTAAACATTTGTAGAATTGCAGGAATTGTGCTGTAAAACTGCAACAAAACAAAAGTTATGTAAAGCAAACATATTTGTTTACCTTTTGTTAAGAAAATACTTTTTCTCTAAAGGAGCCCTCTGTACATATTAAATTATAGTTTTTAATGCCGGTGCTGAGTTCATTTGTAGTGGCTAATTGTACAGCTAATAGGCTATGTGTTTGTAGATCGAATGAGGTGAATGAAGCTACAGCAACCCATGTGAGAATGGCTGGGGTAGCTTATGCTTGTTTTTGGTGTTTCTTAAGAGTTTTTAATTGTATAGAAATGCAAGGGAGGGAGGGGGGTCTCTCATTAATGTCTCTCATGTGTTCCATAATGCAAACACTGACTCCCGTTCACTCCTCCAGTGGGAGCGAGAGAGAGAGAGCGAGACAGGCAGCTTGCTCAGAGCTCAGCAGTCTGACGTAGCACCGGCTGTGCTGGCTCTGGGCGGAATTCAAGACAGCTGCGGCCGTGCGTGCCTGTGAAGCTGAAAGCATTTGTTGCTGCCTATTGTGAATTATAGTGGGGAAAAAAGTATTTAGTCAGCCACCAATTGTGCAAGTTCTCCCACTTAAAAAGATGAGAGAGGCCTGTAATTTTCATCAGTAACTATGACAGACAAATTGAGAGAAATGTTTTCCAGAAAATCACATTGTAGGATTTTTTATGAATTTATTTGCAAATTATGGTGGAAAATAAGTATTTGGTCACCTACAAACAAGCAAGATTTCTGGCTCTCACAGACCTGTAACTTCTTCTTTAAGAGGCTCCTCTGTCCTCCACTCGTTACCTGTATTAATGGCTGTTTGAACTTGTTATCAGTATAAAAGACACCTGTCCACAACCTCAAACAGTCACACTCCAAACTCCACTATGGCCAAGACCAAAGAGCTGTCAAAGGACACCAGAAACAAAATTGTAGACCTGCACCAGGCTGGGAAGACTGAATCTGCAATAGGTAAGCAGCTTGGTCTAAAGAAATCAACTGTGGGAGAAATTATTAGGAAATGGAAGACATACAAGACCACTGATAATCTCCCTCGATCTGGGGCTCCACGCAAGATCTCACCCCGTGGGGTCAAAATGATCACAAGAACGGTGAGCAAAAATCCCAGATCCACACGGGGGGACCTAGTGAATGACCTGCAGAGAGCTGGGACCAAAGTAACAAAGCCTACCATCAGTAACACACTACGCCACCAGGGACTCAAATCCTGCAGTGCCAGACATGTCCCCCTGCTTAAGCCAGTACATGTCCAGGCCCGTCTGAAGTTTGCTAGAGTTCTTTTGGATGATCCAGAAGAGGATTGGGAGAATGTCATATGGTCAGATGAAACCAAAATAGAACTTTTTGGTAAAAACTCAACTCGTCGTGTTTGGAGGACAAAGAATGCTGAGTTGCATCCAAAGAACACCATACCTACTGTGAAGCATGGGGGTGGAAACATCATGCTTTGGGGCTGTTTTTCTGCAAAGGGACCAGTACGACTGATCCGTGTAAAGGAAATAATGAATGGAAATAAAGAAGGCCAAGGTAACCTGCCTAAATGACTATCGCCCCGTAGCACTCACATCTGTAGCCATGAAATGCTTTGAAAGGCTGGTCATGGCTCACATCAACAATGAAAATAAAAATAGAAATATTTACTACACAACAAACATAAGAGGATAAAAAACAAAAAAATAACAATATAAACTGAACGACTAAAAAGAACCCTAAGGAAAAGCAAAGCTAAAAAGTTTTAAGATCTCTTTTAAAAATACCCACAGTGTCGGCCCTCCTCAGATTCTCTGACAGGCTATTCCAGAGGCTGGGGGCATAGTAACTAAAGGCTGCCTCTCCATGCCTCTTGGTCCTAGGCTTTGGGATAGTTAAAAGGCCAGTGCCAGAGGACCTGAGAAACCTACTGGGTACATAACTTAAAAGCATGTCTGACATGTATTGGGGTGCACAATCGTCGATTGATTTAAAAACCAATAGAAGAATATTTAAATAATTATAAAACTCACAGTCAGCCAGTGCAGCGACCTTAAAACCGGTAAATTGTGTGCTCTCCATCTGATCTTGGTCAGTACTCGTGCTGCAGCATTCTGTATGTTTTTCAGTTGTCCAATGGCTTTCTTGGGTAGACCAGACAGGAAAGCATTACAGTAGTTAAGCCTGCTTGCAATGAAAGCATGGATGAGTCTCGCGTTATCAGCCTGAGAGAGAAACGGCCACACCTTGGCAATGTTCCTCAGGTGGTAAAAAGCCATTTTGGTCACATTCCTAATGTGTGATTCGAAATTCAGTTCATATTCTAAAATAACACCGAGGTTTTTTACCTAGTGTTTTACCTTTCTTGCCCATGAATTAAAATGTGCGGCCAGATTCTCTCTGTGCTTTGTCTCCAACAATAATTACCTGGGTCTTGTCTTGATTTAGCTGGAGTAAGTTATGAGCCATCCAAGTATTTAAATCACTAATACAGTCTAATAATTTATCCTTGGAGCTAAAATCTTCTGGTGACACAGAAATGTTATGTTGTGTATCGTCTGCGTAGCAGTGAAAACCAATGCTGTGCTTTCTGATAATGCTGCCAAGAGGTAACATACAGTGAGGGAAAAAAGTATTTGATCCCCTGCTGATTTTGTACGTTTGCCCACTGACAAAGAAATGATCAGTCTATCATTTTAATGGTAGGTTTATTTGAACAGTGAGAGACAGAATAGCTACAAAAAAATCCAGAAAGACGCATGTCAAACATTTTCTACATTGATTTGCATTTTAATGAGGGAAATAAGTATTTGACCCCCTCTCAATCAGAAAGATTTCTGGCTCCCAGGTGTCTTTTATACAGGTAACGAGCTGAGATTAGGAGCACACTCTTAAAGGGAGTGCTCCTAATCTCAGCTTGTTACCTGTATAAAAGACACCTGTCCACAGAAGCAATCAATCAATCAGATTCCAAACTCTCCACCATGGCCAAGACCAAAGAGCTCTCCAAGGATGTCAGGGACAAGATTGTAGACCTACACAAGGCTGGAATGGGCTACAAGACCATCGTCAAGCAGATTGGTGAGAAGGTGACAACAGTTGGTGCGAT